CTGCAAAAAATAACAATGCAGTGTGACTCATCTTCAGTGTGTCCGTTAAATGCTGTATTTTATTTCACTCCAAGCATTAGCCAACACACTTACTACAAGCATCACCAAGGGTAAACATGCATAGTTCATTAATCGTTCTTGATTGACACCAGACATTGTAGTCATTGACTAGTGCAAGGCAACAATGGGATGGAGGGGTTCAAGCCTAACAACTTCTCTTTTCACGACTCCAGGAGCAGTCTTATTTCCTACTTGCTCCAGGTTCAGACCCCTGGGATATGTGCTCCTGCCCACTACCCACTCCCTGCCAGCAAGGTAAGAAACAGCAAGTGGCTAGTACATAGAGAAGCTGCACTGAGAGACTGTTGTCCATTTGTAGGGCATGTGTTGGCTAACAGGAAAGTAGCCAAGGCATATAGGAAAGCAAAAAGAGGAGAGTACTAGGTACTTTTCTAGCTAAGACTGCATCTGAGCTGGTCTCTTTGGTTCATGGGGAGCTCTGAGCTCTGAACATCATTGTATCCCACCTTTTCTCTGTTTCACTAGGTGGCTTATAGCGTCAAGAAGCAGATACTTGCAAGCCCTCTTTTAGAGTATGACTAACTTATTTTCACGCTTAGAAGGGAAAATACCTGGTATTAAACAGAGTGTTCTCAAATGTGACGTTTGGGAGGAAGCCTGTCAGAAGAAGGACTGGACAAAGCTACTTGGTCACCTTGACAAGACAACTCAGTGACATTAATGAATGTCTGTAACTGGCTGGACTTTGTCCTTTGGAGACTCATTCCAGCCCCTTTCTCTGGACCTGGCACAAAAGTAGTCCAGCTGCTGATCCCTTTCCCAGCATTTTGAAGGTTTCTCCACAAAATTTTCCTCCACTCATCACAAACTTCCTCCCAGTGAAGTCACATCTCTTAATCTCACCGTTCACCAATCCCTGTCCTATTGCTGCCCACAACTGTCAGTTTACAAGCATAATAGGGATGCCTTGCCAGATCCCCTCTCTGTGGGCCATCACAATTTATTTTTTCAAGAGGCACAACCTTTTTAAAATCCCTCTCAAGCCCATTGGAAGAGTCAGCAGCTATCTGCATCTCTGGCACAGCCTAGGGCAGTTGCCAAGGCAAGGCTGTCCAGCCAACTTGTGTACAATTGCAAGAGACTCTGTAAAAGCCCTCATCAGGGACAAATTAAATAGCTGTATCCCTCTCCAAAATCATTTTTTAAATTGCCTTCTGGAAGGAGACCTTTCTAGGAAATCACTCTCATCTCCTGCCAGAAGCAGAGATCCATATTTGCCTTTAGCAGCCCCTCACCAATTGCTCTCCCTGTAGAAATTACACTCCTTTATGTGAGGCTACCACGCTCAGCTTTCTCAAGCCCAAGTCGACTAAGCTTGTGGGGCCTGAGTAGATCCCCTGCGGAATCAGAAGGGCTATATGCAGATGTAAGAATTCCTCTCTGTGCAACACAGATCTGGTTTAGTGTTCCCATCTCCAACCATCCCCTGGGGTGCATCAGGCACAGCATTGCCAGCTGTGGAGGGGAGGGATCATCCTGCTCTGCTCTGTGCTGGTGCAGCCTCACCTCCAGTACTGTGTGCAGTTTGGGGCACCACAGTGTAAAAAGAACATAAAACTATTAAAGAGTGTCCAAAGGAGGGCTACAGAGATGGTGAATTTGTATGAGGAGCGCCTGAGGCCCCTTGGTTTGCTCAGCCCCGAGCAGAGCAGGCGGAGGGGAGGCCTCATGGCGGCCTGCAGCTCCCTCACGAGGGGAGTGGAGGGGCAGGCGCTGAGCTCTGCTCTCTGGGGACAGCGACAGGACCCGAGGGGACGGCATGGAGCTGGGACAGGGGAGGGTCAGGATGGGGGTTAGGGAAGGGGTCTGCACCCAGAGGGTGGTTGGGCACTGGGACAGGCTCCCTAGGGCAGTGGTCACAGCACTGAGCCTGCTGGAGTTCAAGAAGTGTTTGGACAAGGCTTTCAGCCAGAAGGTCTGATTTTTGGGTGGTCCTGTGTAGACCTAGGAGTTGGACTCGATCCTTTTGGGTCCCTTCCAACTCAGGATATTCCGTGATTCTATGAATCTATGTCTGTGGTATTCCTCACACTACAGCTTTCTTCTTCACTTAGGGCAGTAAGGGAATTATATTGTTAAAGGCAAATTTTGAAGCTTCCTGGTGCTGCTACCTTTGCCTTTCTGGCCACTCCTTAAAGAAAAGACAGAGGACTGACCACTGACTAAGAGGATGAGAGCTAGTTTAGTCAGCCATGGACAATTTTTCCATCTCCTGGTGCAGTGCAGTGTGTTGGAGTTTGATCCAATCTATGCAGTAAATTCCACGCCCTTGACCTCTTTGCTTTTCATTTATGCTTCTGTCACAGTTAGCCAGATATCATCAGATAGGCCAGAAGCGAGCAATTCCCCTGTGCATGTGCTTCAGGAAGCGTCTAATCCCAGCTCTAGCCAGTGAAAGCTTTTGGGAAGAAACACCTGACACCAGGAAAAAAAAATAAAAATAAACTAAATCTTAGCATGAGAAGAAAGCCGAGACAAAATTCCCCATAAAAGGCCATCTACTGCTCACACCCACTGCTCCTTAGACAGGAAAACCTCTTAAAAGACCTCTGCTGGTTCTCACTCTTTGAGGCTCCGTAGATGTACATATATGCGTGTGAAGCAGATAGAGAGGAGAGGCATGTCAAAGTGTTGCTTTCTCTCTGCTAACGGTTGCAGACAGACCCGACACTTAGAGCATGAGATAGCATCGCACCCGATTTACATCAAAGCTACTGCTACCTCTTCTTCACAAAGAAAAAAAAAAAAAAAAAAAAAAAAAAAAAAAAAAAAAAAGGCTAGCATACATTTCAGTTACTTAATTCTCAGCTGTAGGTAGAGCAGAAAACAGCATTCAAACCATGGATAATGATGTTGGGAGAATACCCACAGAGTGATTGGGAGCTACTTATCAAAATGATCCTCCATTTTACGATCTCCTGGTACCCACAAGGCCCTCTGTCCTATTGCTGATAGCAGGTGTTAGGTATTTACAGCGTCTGCACCTTCCTTCTACATTTTGACCATGTTACTGTGCAATTCCTAAACCTCCTGAATTCTTAAGCACTAGCAAAGATCGAGTCCCATCCAGGGGCAGAAGGCGGTGAACATCTCACGTGTGCTCATGCTACAGCACTGATGCTACTTCACCGTTATTAATCCTTGTGTAGAGGGAGAATCCAGGACCACTGCACTGTATGTGCTTCCCCTGATATGTGACATCTTCTGAGCTCACGCTAAGTTAACCTGCACGTTCCTGTGTCTTCACTGTTGTTGTAACACTGCCGCTAATTTTTCTAGGCCATAAAGGGAAAGCGCAACTTTCTCTTCTTCAAAAAAAGTAGGTTTTCATGGTTCGTTTCCATAAAGCCCAATGCATTATGCATTATCTCATTCAAAGGTAAATAGTGGATACACACATGGATGAAAGATTAAATCCTGGAAATTCTAAACAATTGGCAGGAGGCATAACCATGGCAAATTGATTCTGCTACCCCTCTGCAAAAAAAGAAATGAAAGAATATTTGTGCATTTTTTAAATGACATGTAAGATTTAAACACATTAGGGGTTTGGTTTCTTTGATTTTTTTTTAATTTTTTTTTTTTTTTAATGAAAGCACATAGTAATTATCAGAAAGTTCCTTGATTGAAAAGATTATTTTAAAACAAATCTCTGGCAACTCCACTCATTGCTCATCTACAGTATTATGGGTCTGAGTACCTGAATAACAATGGCTGTATCTATCACAGCAATGATGTGGAGAGACAAACAGAGGGGCACAGAGCTCCATGCAGTCCTTAGAAAAGAAAACAGTCCTTAAAGAAAATTGCATTGTCCCAAAGAAAAAGGTTAATTTAAATACGTAGGTGGTCTTGCTTGATTGGTTGGTTTTGTGTCAACCCTGACCCTACAGTAACCCCGATCTTACTGATCAAAGGGATTATGCTACAGGCTCCAGGGCTGAGTTTGTAGTCTCTGTGTATTGCCGCTCATAGAGCTGTAGTTTGCTGTCTGAGGACATCAACACTCTTGCTGTCCTTACTGCCCTTCATGTGGGCTCAAAGGGGTTTAAGGTGTTGATGTACAGTCTGATCGCACAAATCTTTATTTTCCATCCCGTATCCCAGCCTGGCAGCAGGGAAAGCACAGTGACAGCACCGTCCACAGAGAAGGTAAGGGGCTCTGAGCACACCAGGTATTATTGCTGCTGTACCTGCGCAGATTTGATGCCAAGCTGATCAAGCAGGCAATTTCAGTAACTCTCTGCTCCTTCTCTACCTGGAACGTTTAGTGCACCCAGTGCGCAGCACTCAGAGCAGGCACTATAAAGAAAGCCTTGCTGCCTGTGTTAGCCGGTATGGTAGCAATTCTACTTTATGGCCACTGGGGCCAGACAAGTCTCTTTTTCCCGTCCCTGTTTGCTCTGTATTATACCTGACTGTGTGTAAGCACACACGTGCACAGAAGCGTATACATGAGCTCGTGTTGGCTGGAGGAAGGTGAGGAAGGTGCGTGTCAGAACAAACATGCGGCCTCCATACAACCTCTAGATCCATTACTCTTTGCAAAGGGCCACCTTGCTTTTCCACAGGCAGATCCATGCTCTTGCACAGAGGCCTGGCCACTTGCAGTACAATTCACTCTGCATCTCATCTGACGAAGTTCCCATTTCAGGAGGAATATGAAAATAAAGGGACTGGTCTCCACGCTGCCCAGTCTCCACAGGCTGGCACCTGCGCCCTTGCCTCCTGTGGATCTCACACACCTCGACGGCACTGCTGATGCATTCAACAACCAGACATGGCTCCGTATATCTCCAGGCAGCCCTTATACCAATTCCATGGTGTTACACTGAAAAAAAATATTCAGGCCTTTTCTAGACAAGTGGGAAATCAAGCATGCTCACACCAATACAAGAGTAATACTAATAAAATATTACCTTTACCGAGGCTGGATTCATGCCTATCTGTACTCCAAGGCCTTTCAGGGTGCCTGAAGAGGACATGTAGTCCCTCTGTCCCTGTCTAAACCCAGAAAAGAAACCCGTCCAGCTGCATGACGCCATACTCTTCAGATTCGTGCAACGTGTCTCCTGCTGCATCCTGCCTCCGTAAAGCAGGCCATGAACACACGGTTGCAGCTTCAGTTTTGCCTCTTGCCGAGGTCACCGGTTTGTCACCCGCGGCCCGGAGCTCCGAGCAGCGAGGAGGAGCGTCTGCCACCGCATTCCCTCAGCGCAGGGGAAGTGCAGGGTGGAGCAGCCACCACCAGCTGACACTGTTTGCCATCACTGACACGCTTGCTGGTGACGAGGCTCAGGACACTGTCTGCTCCTTGAAAGTTTCCTTGTTGACTTGTTCGCGGGCCCATTCTCGGCCCAGCACACACACGCACACACATTCACACGCTCACCCACTCTTCTCTCAGGAGAAGACCAGAAAGACAGCCCACCAGGGAAACAACAGCAGCTCTCCCACCCACCCTTGCTTGACGTTTGTTTTTGTTTCTCCAGGTGGCTTTTCTATGCTGGCAGAACACCTCGCTGCTCAGATTTTGACTTTTGTCAGCTCTTACTGTCCGCGTTGGACATGGCCGTCAGACACAGCTCTGAGCTACCACTACAGAAGGTCAGGGAAGAAATGCCCCCTTTCCCTCTGCTTTCTTTTTCAATCTTACAGCTGTCAGCAAGGCCTCATACAACTCCCTCTTCAAACTCTTACAAAGACAGAGCCTGAACCTTTTCAGGCCTTTAGTGCCTAATAATAACTGGGACATTGGTCACATCTCAGTCTGGAGAGCGGGTCTGTTCCTTGCAGGTTTTCTTATACACCGCAGTAGTTGTGTCAGAACTCAAGGCAGTCCCACCGGTGTTCAGGTTTCATCTGCCATTCCCAGAGGATTTCATTACTCCCGCAGAGTCTTTTTTTCCTAGCAAGATTTCACATTGCCAGATAAGTTCCTCCGTTGTCTGCGAGCATTAGAGTCTCCCTGTCCCACAGCTGTTGGATATAAAGTGGCAGAGCGGTGGGGTCTGTCTGGTTGTTTTATTGTCACTACATTCAGGAGACTTTTTATTTTTTTAGCCAGTATTCTTCTCATTGAAAAATGTTTTTTCCATTGTCCTGAAACGATTGTCGGATTCAGTGTGGACTTACCAAATTGCTTTCCTGGAAAAAATGTCAGGATTATATTCACAAAGCTGAGTGGAAGACAGCCACTTTTTATTCACTCATAAAGGATGTGGGAGTCCTGGGTTTAATTTCCTCCTCTGCCTGGGGGAACTTGAACCAGCATCACTTATCTCCCAGGAGAATACCATAAGGTTGTGCTGCGCTGCATACTAAGGTGGATTGCTCTTACTCCCCACCATTGATGTGTCCCGGTCTGTGCAGAAAGTCTTTCCAGACCCCTAGCTGAGACCTTCATGTGGACATGGTTCATCTGGCTGCCCCAGCCTGTGCTAATGAGTATTGCACTATTAAGGGATGTGAGAGCACCGCTGACAGCGTGCCTCTCCTAGGATACCCCTGCTGTCGTGGCTGTGTTACCCTCCTGGGAAAGAAGGGCAGGCACAGCAGCAGAGGAGGGCATTACACATCCTACACGAGCACTACATCAGACAGCCCCGTATGCTAAAGCTCACCATGGTAAGAAAATAGAGCTCAATTTGTTAAAGAAAATTACTTGTAGAAGTCAGCACAGGTTAAAGATGGGAAGACCAAATTAGTTCAAGCAGAAAGCCTTCCTCATATCAGCCAAGGACTGTGCTGAAATCAGGCCTGATGCACAAGATCTGATGCCAAATTCAATGCACCAAAATTTGTGTGCCAGGAACAAAACCTAATGGTGACTGCTGGCATGTTCATCATCCTCTGGGGGCATCCATTTTGATATTGATGCTTGGACAGATGGACAGAAAGGAGAAATCTTTACAGCTGTCATGGCCAGCTTTGAGACCTAAGTGTGCACTATGATACCGTTAGCACTTAGTTACTCGATCTGATCAGACCTTCTGGCAAGTTTCTGGCCAGGAAACACATTGCCAGCTCCACCAACTTCAGCTCAGTCCTGGAAACCCACTTGGAAGATGAGATTTGGGGTCCTAATGTCACCCGTCTCTTAGTTGCTTTGCAGTTTCCTCACATGCTGCTCTCTTTTTTCTCTCTTTCACCTTCCATTTAATCAAACCATCCTAGATAGGAGGGGTTGCGCAACAAAGCTGCGAGCTGCAATCAGGGAAAGCGATGTCTAAATGAGACAGACACTGGTACCTATTTCCTAGATCTCAGAGGGGCTGATAAGGCCATGTGTCGTGCTTGTCTCTGTCTAGCAGTGAGGCTGCAAGTAAAAGTCAACACCAGAAAAGGAAGTCATATTTTTTGTCTTCGCTGTCCTTTTCTCTCCCTTTTCTGTCTTCAAGTCAGCAGAGGGGAGTCCAAAAATGAGTAGCAACAACAGATCCAGTCCATCTCGATGAGTGTCCCTCTTTCCCCAAGAACAGCTACTGCTGCTAGGAACTTAAATAAAGGGAGGGAAGCATTGCTGTAAAAAGTGTTAACAACTAAGGGGAGAGGAATAATGGATGCTTTTAAGAAGGAAAGTCTTACTTAATACTTTATTTTTCAAGTGCTTAAACTGTTTTTCCTCCTTTTTGTGTATCTTTAATTAAAGGTTAAAAGACTTCTGCTGGTGATTGCTTGCCATGGTAACCAAGTAGGCTGAGGTCTCTGAATTCAAAACCCCAAACCTTTTTAAGTGTTTAACGTTGCAGAGTGTCGGGGTCATGTTAGCATCTTTGACTCACTGAGCCTACATCTTCCCCTGAAACGAGCACGTCTGCTCCCTAACGACCTGGCCACCAGGCTGCAGAGGGACAGCCCTCTCACCTCCACCCTCCCCCTGTGAATCTGACCCCTTCCTCTCACTTCTCTTTCGGGTGCTCGCATGTTTCATTTTGAATTAAATGCAATTTTCATTATGAAACATGGCTATTTCTTTGCAGTTTGACAGCAGGAGAAATAAGACCTAACCAAACTCATCTGTTCCTACAGTGGTGATGTTTTCTTCTTTCCTGCTGAACCGAACTGCACTTATTCATACCTTGCTGCTATTTTAAGAGCGGGGCCCGGCTGTATGACATTCAGGGGCACCGCTAAGACTCCAGCAGCAGAGTACACATCATAGTATATGCTAGTTAGTTTAGAGAAATGACTGGCAAAGTCATTTTTGCAATGAGTGCTGTCTGTATCAATGCACGTGTGCGTATTTATTACATTAGTCACCTCAGCTACTAGAATGACTTGCAATTAAGATTGCTGTAGTACCTGAAATGTCACATTGCTTGTCTCTGTTCTGAAAGGGGCACTGCCTTAACCAGATAAGGCAAGGAAAGACAGATGAGGGCATGACCAGACTTACCCCTATAACCACGTTAGAATGGCTAAAAATCCTACCACGCCTCAGCAAAGAAATATCTTTTAGCTGAGACAGGGTCACCAGACACGTGCAAGCTCCCAGTCTCTTGTACTGCAAAGTGAGAGGAGCTTCAGGCGTGGAAGAGACTAACCCATTACACTTTGCATTTGCAACAGACCGGCAGTACATGCCCGTACAGTTTTGCTTTGTCTCTGTGCTGAGAGACAACAACCTCCAACCACAGCGGCACACATTTCCTAAGTTCCTGGAGCATGACACAAGGCATCGTCGGAACGTCAGCTGCGATGCAAGCGAAGCAATTAGCATAAGAGTACCCACATGGCTGGCGTGTTACGCCAGCTGGCTTGGACTCAGAAGCTGGCATGAGTTTACATCTCGTCTCACGTGAAGCATGGGGCCAGGACCTGCCCCTCCAGCAGGGTGTGGGCAGGTGACTCCTGCTCGGGCTTTCCGGGAGCTCCATGCTGTTATTCGGAGCAGGTCTTGAAGGATTACAGTGCAGGGCACCGATGGTCCTCCTCTCTTTGCCTCTCCTGTGCACCTTCCATTGCTTTCTCACCAGCAGAACAGTCCTGGTCTTTGTTTACAGGGCCCGTTCCTTCATCCCGCGTAGATAAACCAATAGATTACTAATTACTATTGCTAATAATTACCCACTTACTGAAAGTGGGTAAATCAATGAAATTAGGAAAGAACAATAGCATTGACAGCACAATATTGGGATGTGTATATGGTATAGACAAGCCATCCATCCTACCCTCTTGCTCCGTTAAACTAATTGACATAGATGGTCAAACTGTGGCACAAAAACCCAACAGCAGGTTTTATTGTTTGGTTGTTTGGTTGTTTGGTTGGTTTGGTTTGTTTTTTTTCACCACAAGACTCATTCACTTACGTCAACAGCTTGAAACAAAATGATAAACGAGTTTCTATGTATCTGGGTCTCCAGGAGAGGAAAAGGCGGTGAGTTTGTATTTTCTGCCATCCTTTTTCCTTTAAAGGTTTTGTATTTCATGAATTGCTCTTGCCACAAATGTTTTCATAGCAAATGTAGAGGGAAGAACAAGATTGTCTGCTTTGAACAGTAGCAAAATTACTGATTTGGACAGATTCTCACCTGCCAGATGCTAGAAGAGCTTTCGTGGAGTTACACTGAAGTACCCAAGCCAAAGGTTTCGACCATTTTCTTTGAAGGAAGTACTTAAAGTGACTTATGTGCTAGTTCAGGCTGCCGTGTTGGTTTTAGATGAAACACAAACTTCTTTTAAATATTTTTATTCAAAAAAGAAAAATTGTCTCATCGGTTCCCTAAAGGCCTGCATTGCAGGGCTCCATGGCCGGCTTCTTTATTATTTCAAAGCAATTCTCCAAATGCTTGCGATCTTCCACACACCTTCTAATTTGTATGCCAGGATGTAAAGTTTTCTGCGGTTGTGGAAGTCCTTATTGAATGTCAGTGCTACGCCGTGAAAACACCTGACTAAGTAGGAACCATCTCACCCCTGGGAGTTATTGACTGCTGCCTCCAAGGGCGTAATTAGCAAGTGGCAGAACTTGCCACATGGGTCATGTTTTACAAGATCCCACAGTATCGGTATTGATTATGATTAGATTAGATTGGGCTGATGGTAAATGCTTCTATAAGTTATGAGGTTTTCAGGCAAATAGCGAATATCCTGTCATGAGCACCGCCGAGCACATTTGTAACACGACTTTAAAATGATAGCTACGAACGTCGTGTACACAATGCCTCGTGGTGCGAATATAGGTGAGAGACAGAGCTTGACA